CTAAAGTCTGCAGATGAATTCAAGTCCATTGATTCAAGATTATTTGGTGAATCAGGATAAAAAAGTCAGATGGAGACCTAACAAACCAGCACCCTCCGCAGGATTTTTAAAGCACTGAGGACTGAATAGGTCTGACTGAAAAACCGAAAACATGACAACATTTCATTAGACCTGGGGTCTGCGACAATGACTCTTGATATTTGCTAAAAAAAAAAAAAAAAAAAAAAAAAAAATTTTTTAAAATATAAATATAAAAAATGAGGATTTTAGAAGTTCTGTTGCACCAAATAAATTCTGCAATGAATTCCCACAACAAAATGACTAGCATTGCTAATATCTGATATTTTTCTCATCACTATATTGGAATCTAAGCTTTTTTGTTTACATCATTTTCCACAAACATCGACATCCCATAGTAGAAAATTAATACATTATTCTTTTGGTAAATGTTTTGTTTTTCTTTGTTTTAAAACCTAAAAGCAAAAATAAAAAGGTGTTTTTTTAAAACATAAAAGATCATAAAAGACAGTAGATATTCATCAAAGTAATTTAAGTTGTGATTTCACAAAAAATTATGCCACATTTGCTGCTCTAAATGAGTTTTATGTAGCTTTACTCAGGGCAAAAGTGGCTCTTTGGTTTGTAAAGATTGCAGCATTTTTTGCTCCAGTTCTGACCAGCATTGTTATTCTGAGCGTCACGGGCTCCCATATAACCCAGTAACTGTATCAGCAAGATGTTTTATACTACAGAGCAGAACAAATCTCTGTTTTCTATATAAGTTTCAAGTTTCAAACTTAAATGGGAACTATGATGCAAAATCTACATCTTGCAGGTTTGTGTAATTCCATTTGGGTGTTTTTAAAAACAACCTGAGAGCTTAAAAAACACACCCAGCTGATTTTTGGCAATAACGTCATGTTTTTTGGTGTCTGGAAAATGAGGAGTTTTAAAAACTTTCTGAATGTAACATCACAAATCAGCAGGTACTGCCCGTTGCTCCAGCATGTTTGGTCAGCTGGTTTTATCACTGCTGGAAAAGACAAATGTTTTGTTGTTCATTCAAAATCCAGAAACCATTTGCTGCATTCTTGTTGGTTGTGCAGAAGGCTCTACTAACGCTTTTCAGAGATATACGGTTATATAATTGCACATCTTTTTGCAGCCATTTTTTTGTGTGAGCATAAACATTGAATTGGGGGCGTGGCCAGCAGCAGCTCATGTGGATTTAAAGTGACAGAGGCCCTAAAACAGCTGAAAGTAGGCAGAATAGAGTAGCCTAAAATTTCATTAGCCAAGAATGATTTTGTGCAAATAAATTGTAATGAATGTGTTTTGTTTCGCCCAGATACCTGTTAAAGGAAGCATTATTAAGTGGTCCAACTACAAAATAACATAAGGTTCGGTCCTAAAAGTCTGGTTTTGTCTAGTCCAATGAACTGAAATCTTTGTTTTAATGTGAGCCACAGTTCAAAGGTCAGCACCAGATTTCAGACGAGCTTTCCTTCCTGCTAGATAAAAACTGAGCATCCAAATGACTTCTGGTTTGTTTAAGATGTTCCTTTTTACCAGCTGAACAGTAAAACCGTGTTCAGAGTGAAAGTTTCTGTTCTTTCTGAGGATTTCTGCTCCTGTTTTTCTCCACAAGTGAAGCAAGGAGGTTTCAACTCAGAAAGATAAAAGATTTGTCAGGAGGAGACTTTTGTTTTGGCTCCCAGCTCCTCATCTTTTTAACTCACTTTCCATTATCCTCCACTTTTCTTCTTCCCCTTTAACTTTCCTTCTCTTCAGTGTCTTTAAAGCTCTCAGCTAATTAAGGAAAATGCGACTGAGTCACAGGTATCTGCAAGTGTTTCAAGATCAGTTACAGTCCACTTGTCACAACTGTGCAGAGAAGTCAGCCATGAACATGAATATTTATACAAATTGGTGTTAGAGCAGAAAGTCTTCAAGCACGTTGCACTTCGCTTCAACGTGCAATTACAGAAGACGCCACTCTTCGCTATTTGAAAGCAGCGACAGTAGACTGAGGTGTTTACATCATCAGAGTGCTGCCGCAATTGGAGGAGAGCTGGAGACGTGTGAAGATTAGAGAGCAACAAGTTGGGTAAATGGCGCCTTTCATGGGACGCTGACGGAGGCGAGGAGGGGAAATACGGAGAGATGACAGGTAGAGCTGAGCGGAGGGAGGAGGGAAAGTAAGGCAGGCTGGATGACGATCGGCTTCACAACAGAAAACACCGCTGGGCATCCAGCTCCATGCCGAGAATGTTGATGTGAGGGAATGAGAAACGGTTTCCAGGAACGTGTCGCTCAGCAAACAGAGACGAACCGCAGCAGATCCAGCTGATCGGCTGATACACGATCAATAATTATAAGGTATGGCGGGAATTCAGAGGCGGCAGCGATTCACTACCAGAGGGAAAACTTTGTAGAATGAATCCATCCATCTATCCAACGATCCATCTAATGATTCATCCAACGATCCATCCATCCATCCATCCATCCATCCATCCATCCATCCCTTGGTTTATCCAAGGAATCTATAACTACATCCATCCTTTTGTCTCAGTCTATCATCCATCCATCCATCCATCCATCCATCCATCCATCCATCCATCCTCTTGTCCGTCCGCCCATACATCCACATTTCTTTTATCTTTTATAAGTTCATTTTATCTATCTTTTCATCGTCTCTGTCCTCTACATTGTTTTCTTTTATTTTAGATGTTGAGTTTCACTCCTGCAGTTCACAGGTTTAAAGTCTCTCGTGGATCAAACTGAGCAGCAGCCAGTTTTATCCAATGCATCAGATTTGCTTTGGAGCATAAAACTGCATTATGACAACGCTAAAGTGAAACGCCATCTGCAGCGATTTCAGGGAATCTGTGATTCTACCAATTTGTGAACTCCAAACTATCTGCAATGAAAAATAAAATTCACAAGGCTGGAAACGTTTAGGATATCCCCAAATCTTTCCAGAAGTCAAAGGTCAGACAAAAAGGTTGAGATTTTTAAAGATAAATCGCAACCAACTCATGATTATTTTTACTCAGCCATCCTGTCTTTTTGGTAAAGATTTACCGTACTTTTATTTTTCTACCGAAAAGTAAAAACCACAAACACATTCAGCATCAGAAAGCTGGAAAAAAGAGACATTGCCTTGATTAACTCCTATAAAAGTGTTTCCACCAATTTAACACCGGAGAGGGAACAACATTAAGAGAAAGTAAACAGAGTTCTGCCATTTCAGTTGCTGCTTAGGTGCAGCAATTTTCTGCTAAATATGATTTTCAGAGCCGGTATTCCTGGAGTCCGGCTCTCAAAGCGTTTTCCATCAGCATGTTCTGTCAGGCAGCCGCGTTTGGCCGAACCATCATGGCAGACGGCCGCCTCTCCTCTCCCCGGAGCCAGTCCGCTTTAATTGAAGTGCCGCTGAAACACACTGCTGCGGCTCTCACAGCACCGTTATCTCCAGCATCTCTGCCATCCTCAGAAAGTAGACCGACAGTTCACTGGTCTGCAAAATACAGGGTGGCAAAGTGTTGGAAACAAATAAACACACAGGCAAAAACTCAAATACACACATACGCAGAGAGAGCGAGTTAAAGCGGCCGCCGTTCTCCGTCCGCAGACAAAATTCGTACCAAATTGGTATGAGGTGCAAAATAAAACAGAGCAAGCACTCAGAGTGGGAAGTGGAGTGAGCCGTGACAGTAGAAACCGGAGAGAACGACACCTGGAAAAAGGAGGAGAAGGTGAGGAAAAGGGATGAGCTCGGCGTGAACAGAAAATTAATGGCTGCCATCTCTGCGGTTTTCATCCCGGCTCCTCTTATGATCCGGGTTGAGGTTGAAGGCTGAGAGCTAATTATTGTTTAGGTCCAACGACAATAAAGGAATAGCACGCTGATTTGTTTTTATATACTGTCTGAATATTTGATGAAACAAACCTGAGACACATCTGGTGAAGTTCAAGTTCAACACAGAACAAAACTCAAAAATAATGAATTGAGTAAAAATTGCATTTTTGCCAATGCAACATAACTTTAGTGATTATTACATTGGTTTTATAGAGCTAGTTTGAGTAGTTTACAAATGTATCTGAAACGTGTCAGTTCTAGGCTTTTTTTCACCGTCCATGTCTGTCATGGATCTCATTTCTACCCATTTTCGTTCTTATGTTATCTTATCAAAGGAGGCATTAAATTCTTTAGAAGTGAAATCACACCAACCCCGTTTAGTCCGCTTTAATTCAGCTCTAGTTTGTATTCAAAGAAAGTCCGGTTAGTTTAAAATGTGAAAGAATGATCGAACTCTGATGCGGATTGAAAAAGCGAAATCTGGTGCGGTTTGAACACACAGGGCATTCTGGGTAAATACAACCAAAACAAACGTGTGTTTCTAGTGCAGTTATGTCAAACTCATTTTCATTTTGGTCCACATCGTGATCCAGAATGTCTTTAAAGGGCAGCTTGTGGAAGAACGTGTTGATTTTAACCAGCTGTTAATACTAATTCTGCTGATTCTGCATTCTGTGAGAATGTTTAAATATTAAACATGTTTTCTTCTTCATCTAATTTGGCACAATACAAATGAAACTGCTGACTGAGAAAATAATATAAAAAAACACAACTATTATCTTAAAGATTCTATTTCTACAGGCCAGAGGGCCACATTAAATCTTCTAGCGGGACAGATTTGGCCCCCGGGCCTTGAGTTTGACACAATGGGAGGGTTTTTACCAAATATATAGAGAACTCCTACAGCCATTAAAATCAGACGATACTCCATTTGTTGGTGGAATCAACTGACTCACTCGCTCTGTGGTTACCTAGCAACTCGTTCTACGGTTACCTAGCAACAACCTGCTGAGTAACTGCCACAGCAGAAGTTTCAGGTTCCTGAAACCTCTGCTGTGCTTGAAACGCCTCGTAACTGCTTAAAAACAAAACAACGTGGAGCGAAAACTTTGGATAAAACAACAAAGGCAGCTTTTCAGATTTCAGATATTTAATACAAAAAACTAATCAACAATTATTGACATCGACTGATGTGAAACATCATGGATAAATCTTTTATCTGTATTGAACAGCCCTTCTAAACCGATAGATGACGATGATTTCTCATTTTTTCCTTTATTTTCTGTAGAGATGGTTCAGTCTACTTCATGTTGTCTCTGAGATATTTATTGAATCAACCGGTCTGGCTGGTAAAACTGAACTCCTTTCTCAAAAACAATGTAATGACGAGTGAGCAAATACTTTCTGACATACATTTCTTCTATTTTCCTTAGCAAAAGCAATCTGGACCATGCATCTCTTTTTCATAGGACAGTATTTTCAGGAAATATGATTGCATCTCGAATGTTTTCTCGGTTTAACAAAGCATGACCCAATTATGAAACCCATCTAAAAATGCTTCAGAGGTTGTGGGCAGTTTTTGGCTCTCTGTAGCTCCGCTCTTGTTGATCTGAAATGCTTTTTGATTTCACACTTGCAGCCAAATGGAAGATGAAGAGGCAGTGAGTTATCAATAATTGATCAGCCTCCAAACCCTCGGGCGTTTCCCTTGTTTCGAACCGTGACTGGATCTTCTGGAAGCCAAGGTCACATGGTAGTGACTACACTTCATCAGCAGCAGCAAATTTCACACAGTTTGCTAATGTATTCGCACCATTAGCGCCTGCATAATGAGCAGCAGGACACTGTTTAGCATGCAGTAAACACCTGCTTGGCCCCAAATCATATTTCGCCGTTTCTCATCGTCAGCAACTCTGGCGGTGGAAGGTGTGGGAGAGGACGGAGGGAGCCATTTGTATTCTGCTAATCGTCCAGTCCAGCGCTGCTGCAGAGGCTAATGGGGGTTAACGGGGACCTTCGTTTAAACACACGGCGAGCGCCCGGCTCTCACTTCGTTTCTGAGGGGTCGCAGGGAGCCAGACGTCCGCGGACTAACCCTTCAATTTGCTTGTTCGCTACAGGCCGGGTCGGCCCTGGAGGGGCTTGGAGGTGTGTGTTGGAGGAGGCTGGAGAGAAGAGGATGGTGATTAAAATTACAGCGGTGATGAAAAACCACATGTGGTCGTAATAAACTGTGAGTGGAGTTTGTTTGAGGACTAACATATACACTCATTTATCATTTTAGAACTTACTTTTCTTTTTCATCATATTTCCAGGTTAATTGCAGATTTTTCTAGTTGGGTATGGAAGTACTGACCTGACGAATCAAAAATCGCTCTTGGAGCCAACAAACGTTAGATCAAGCTGCTGCTAATTAAATGCACCGATCTGGAAGGATGAACTTGGTTTCTGCAAAAACACTAAATCTTTTCACAAAGTATTTTCCATCTAGTTCCTAATACAATAAGACACAATTAACAGGTAACTTTTCAGCAACATACGGGAGTTTAAGCCAATAATTCATTAATTTTGATGAAAAACTACTGGCTATAAATGAAATAATCTGGCAGTGAAACAATAATTTTAACATATTATAAATTAAAATGTTTAGTTCCCTAAACTATTTCTGCTATATTCTCCCAATAATGCGATTAAAAAATGCCCATTTATAATAAACGTCTTAGTCACAAATTAGTGTCACTTATATCACTAAACTCCACACAATAACTGCATTTACTCATATTTCCACGTTTATTAATGTTTATTGATACTCTTATCAAACAGTGGAGAAAATAGTAAAAATAATCCTGACAATATGAACATTTAAAAAACAAAAAAAATCACTAATTGGGATTTATTGTAACAATAAATTCTTGTAAGAACTTTGCCATGACACACGATAAATGCCCCAAAATGAACAAGATTAAAATGAAAAACATTATGAAACCAGATAAAATGTTTCCTAAATTATTGGAGGTTGTTTTCTTTTTGCCACTGAGCTTTTTCACTAAACTTGATGCCAGTTTAGTGTCAGGTTGAAAGGAGCTAGATGTATAAATGTGGTGACTGTTGTGATGAAATAGATCAAAAGTGTGGATTATTTTAAATCTGCACTTTAAGAAGCATTTGTATATAAAAAAACCTGATTTTTCTCACTATAAGTGCCGCTTTCCTGCAGTTGAAAGGTGCAATCTCAGCAGGAAAAGTTTTTATTTTTATTTTGCATTTTACTTTGCTTCAATGAATTATTAAAATAGAGAAATCTAGAAAAATGACCACATCTTCCATTATACAAAGGGAAATAGCATTTTACATGCAGGTCTCACTTCTTACAGATTCAATGCACCTGCAATATTTTACATAAAATACCAGACTCTTATTTTGTTTTGCATAGTTTATGTTCGGTTTTGAGAACCAGAATGAGCTTGTCAAAGTAAAATAACTTGAATTAAACCAAAGTCATGCTACAGTATATATTATAGAACATATGATAGCTCAACATTACTTCCCTTATGAGCGAAAGCAAAGAAACTCTGTAGTAAAAGGAAACCACTTTATTCCTGCAAATACGTTGGTTAAATTATTGATTCTGAATGTAAAAACACAGCGGCTCTAAATCATATATTAGCTTTACATTTGCACATTCCATTTACTGCATGCAAAGGTTTTGAATTATAAATCCCTTGTGGAGAAGATTTGACCCGAGGCTTGCAGAGCAACCGTGAGGCTCATAAAGGGAGCATCATGATGTTTCTGTTGTGACTAAGCCCTGAAACGTCTTTATAGATGATTAGTTCGTGTTCTACAAGCCGGTCACTCCTTGGGAGCTACGATGGTTTCAACGATGGGAAAACATTTCCAATTTAATGTTATTTGTTAGATTTGATGTACAGTAAATTATTTTTATCAGCTCTGGATCCAAACAGAGTGGGAACTGGAAGGAGGTGGAACAGATTTATTTTAAATTCCTTCTAAATGTGGGCAGACAGGAAGTTCTGCAAATGCTTCCCTTCAGCCATAAAGACCACAGCTCAGGCTGTAACGTTTGCAAATATTCACCAAGATGAAGCGTCCTTGAGCTAAACGGAGAAGCTTTGTTCTGGAGTCACCTCAGAGAGGAGACAAAACATCTCTTCCTGGTAGCAACTCCTAAAATATTTAAACAAGATTTACCAACGAAGAGATACAACCAAAGAAAGCATTTCTGAGCTTTAAAGTTCACTTAGTGTTCAATATTACATTGAAGGCTTAAGTCTTAAAGAAAAATATCAAGATCTATTTTATGTTTTCTCAATTTCTGCTTTATGGGGCCGATTTACCCCAAACGAAAGCTGCCATTAAAGGTGTTAGATATGCTAAATGATTGAAAAATAGCTTTGTGCAAAATAAGAGTTGCAAAGTTTGCCATGTTTTAAGTTTCATGCATTCACACTATGTACATTTAGCTAGTTTTATAGGGCATAAAGGCCCTTAGTTCTGATACCTGATATTATTTTTAAGGAGTAAAAATAGTAGGGTTATTAGAAAATATTAACATATTGGGTCAGTTGTAATTTAGGTCATAACTATTTTTAGCAATATATAAATAGTGGATATGTATAGTCCTGATACTGTGCAGCCCTATTTGGAGGTTAGGACATTGGGGGCAATGAATGAAAATGTATATTTATCTAGTAAATTAGCATAAAAGTCCATCTCAGACATAATTACATTTAATATTTGACCATTTTGGAGATTATATGGCATTTTATGAGCATAATCTTCAGCTGACCTTCTGTTTGCAGCTGTGCTTGAAGTTTGTGGAATAAGTGAACGTGATACTGTGAGGAAGAGGAACTGCTTGTTCTGGAAATGTCTCCAGGGAAGAACGTTGTTTCTGCAGCTCCCACAGATGTTAGATCTCTGAAATCTGCAACCTGCCGAAGCTTAATGAAGATGTAAGTAACTAGTTTGCCGTTTTTCACTTTTAATTTTCACCTCCAGAGTGGATTTGATGGATCGTCATGTCCTGTCATGGCTGTGTGTTACTTTTTGATGTGTTGTGGGTTTGAATAGTGCTGCGTTGCTGGGATGAAGGTTGAGGAATTCACAGTGTTCCCCTGCGTCAGAGCAGAATATGTTTTTTCTGCAATTTTCTTTTTTTTTCTGATTTATAGATCATAAAACCCACTTTAAGTTGAATGTCAATGCTCTACGCATAGTTCCCACAAGTTTGAAGTGATCGCGCCATCTTAGGCAAGCGCAACACGTAGCGGACCAACGGCTTTGAGACCAACAAAAAGAAAACATGTGGACACCCTTGACCAAGGTACAAGAGAAAGATACATGAACAAAGTGGCTGCTGTCGGGATCGACGTGTATGAGACGGAGATGGGAAATATGCCAGACGATGTGGATAAGCTGCCTCCGATTTCAAACTACGATATAGTTCAGTACTTGGCGAACAGGAAGCGTGCGTACAACATGGAGGAGCTTCACGGCCAGAAATCACTGGACACATGCGATCAATGTTTAAACGTCTTTGTAAATAATGTACGAACTCTTTGTGTGAATAACAAGGTTCTGGTCACTGGCAGAGTAAGCACATGTAGTAACACATGTAGGCTACATGTCCGTCTCAGCAAGCAGACTAAAGCTACATTAGCTAAGCTAGTTTTGCTGGTTCGGCAGTAAATACTACAGTAAATATCACGAGGGACACAAATATTGCAATCATGTAATAAATGTAATGTACTTATAAGTTAGACAGGAAAGAGGGGGGAGTTAGTTCAAAGCTTGCAGATTTTTTTTTATCGTCGTCATAGCAACTCCATAGCAACCGCTTGCTGAGAGGCCCGTCAGTTACAAAGTTTATGGAAGTGTGACATCACGCATTAATGCCTCCAGGTGGACAGATTATTACTAAAATTAGGTCACGCAGTCAGTTTCATATCCAGTTTCAAGCCTTGTGCATCCTGAGGCTAGAGAGACATCAGCACTGACAGAGAGCTTCTGTAATGTTCTATGAGACTGAGTTATAACATTGTAGCAGTACTGTAAATGCTGTGAAGGTGGTGAACATGCCCGTTTTCTGTGACTTTGCGTACACACCTCCAAATTGCACATATATATATAGGCTGGTTGCTGGAAGACCAAGTGAAGCTGTCAGTTTTTCAGGTAGCAGTTGATTACAAAAGTCGTGACAGAGAGAAGTCCTGGAAACATAATTAGCAACAAGGTGGAAAGCCAATTAGGAAATAGAGCAGACAGCAGATCTTAGGGTATAAAATGTGATCCATTAAAATCATATATATAAAAAAAAAAAACATGCTTGGAGCAACCAGCTAAAAAATAAGACCAGTAATCAGATTTTAGAGTTTGTGTGTGTAATAAAGTCTTACTTAAAGCTGCTGGCAATAGAATGGCTGAAACCAATGGTGGAGGCACAGAAACCTAATTTTATTTTGGGGATTCCTTTAAATTATTCATAAAGATGTGTTACGTAGGGAGGAAACGCTGGTAGAAAAAATATGTGATAGTAGTCAGTATGTTAATGTAAAGAACCATTAACATTTCTCTATGCATATAAAATAAAACAAATGAAAGTAACAGACTTTAAACAGTTGGATAAAAAGCTAAATCTATTGCTGAATCTTGATATTAACTTTTAAAAGTAGCATTTATTTATTCAGTTGTCTTTTAGACCATTCTAATTTTCTCCACAAGTCAAAGTTGAACACAAGAAGCTCTGAAGACAGAAATAAGTGACATTTAACAGTGAAATACGACCTCAGAACTAATTACGCACTACATTCGGTCATTAAAGAAATGAGTCACACTCAAGGTTAGCCTATCCATTTTGTAGTAGTGCAAAAAGCCCATCACTGAAGTAATTAGAGTTCAGAGAAACACTAGCAGCGCCGACTTACCTTTTCTGAAACTTGAATGACCTCTTTCATTACTGGAAATTCAAATTTTATACCTTGAATAGTTTTTTTTTTTTTTTTGGAAGATAAAAAAAAAATTTTAACACAAGAAATCTGCTGTTTTTACAAATCAGTAAAAACCTTCAGATATCGAAATATTTTTCTAAATTTATTGATTTTTTTTTTCCATTTTAAGAAAGTGCATACTAAAAAACAACTAC